ATCAAACCCAGAGGTAAGCAACATGATATCCTGGGATTTACTAGAGGTTTAGAAAATCAAAGAAGCCAAACTGTTACAAAATTGATGGCAAGGGAATCAGGTTAGAAATTGGCCTATGAGAATTGTAACAACCTGCATTGATGTGACATAGATATTAGAACTAAGAACTGAAACCTTCTCCTGCATTAATATGACCTAGTTATTCTGAGAAAACTTAGTCTGGGAAAAATAAGCCTGTAAGACCAAAAATCACTTCACTTTGTTGTGCTTCAGGAAATTCTTGAAAATCAACTTTTCTTAGGCAACAGTCTGTTCACCTGGACAAATAGCTTATTTAAAAACATCTATGGGCCAGGTGCAGTTGCTCATGCCTGTAATCCCAGCACTTTGGGACACTGAGGCAGGAGAATTGGTTGAGGCCAGAAGTTCAAGACTAGCCTGGGCAACATAACAAAACCTCAAATCCTCATCTTTAAAAAAAGTAAGAAATAAAATAGCCAGGCATGGTGGCACATGCCTGTAGTCCTAGCTACCTAGCCCTCAGGAGGCTGAGGTGGGAGGATAACTTGAGCCCTGAGTTTGAGGCTGCAGTGAGCTATGATCGTGCCACTGCACTCCAGTAGTCTGGACGACAGAGTGAGACTTTGTCTCAAAAAAAAAAAAAAAAAAAAAAAATTAGCTTCAAGACCCTCACTTTGATATATCCACCAGTTCTAAATTATTATGCCATGAAATTTGCCCAAGTCCAATCACTTCTCTATCCTGAAAGACCTTCCTTAAATCATTTGAGCCCATCTTTTAATATCTCCCACCCTGAATTCTTTTGTCTGAGATACTGCTAGAACTCTCAAGATGAAAAGATTGTCTCATTTTTGTGAAAGGTCAGTAGACAGAAACTTGCAGTGATTCTTTGTTGAAAGTTTAATTTCCTCAATGCTTTCTCCTTAGGCCCCGGACAAAATTACTTTCAGTACAAAGTTTTAATATTTTCCAATTCTACATTGTAATTTCTTCCATTTAGTCTAAACTTTTCCTTTTTAAAAATGTATACATCAGGAAAGAGAATAAAGGGAAAGATTGTTTTGACTCTTACCTCCTCCTTTAATGTTATTATGGGGGAAGAAACAGTAATAATTCACGAGTATTATATTTAGGGCACCCTGGTGGTATCCAACAGCAAAGTGAGCAGTGGTTTACTATGGAATTGAAAGATATGGGACAAATATACGTTGCTAAGAGCAACAATTAAGACAACAACCAAGACTGAAATTTCTACTCACCACTGTATCTAAGAGAAAGCTGTTGTTGAAAAGATTTGCAGAGGTGTGGGTGGTCAGCCTAAGTTTAGATAACATTAAAAAGCTTCCTTATGATGTCTTGTCTTCTGCTGATAAGGTTTCTCCTTAGCTCTGCCTTCTAGTGCTACATATTTCTCAGACTACTCTTTTCCAGGCAGACATTCTTTTCTCTTTATTGGTCATCCACTGGCTTAAATTCAGTTGTTTTCTTTTCCTCTTTTTTTTTTTTTTTATTATACTTTAAGTTCTAGGGTACATGTGCACAACGTGCAGGTTTGTTACATATGTATACATGTGCCATGTTGGTGTGCTGCACCCGTTAACTCGTCATTTACATTAGGTATATGGGCCCGTAACTCAGTTGTTTTCTTACTGGTACTATAACTGGTCCTGAATTTACTGTAAATTTATATTTACAGTAGTGGCTAGAGTCACCTCTATTAAAAATTTATTTTGTCTCAAAACGGCTCATAGGACCCTGCCTTCACCACTTTTCTGGGCACAAGCGCTGTTTCCACTTCTCTTGTTTTTTGTTATTTGTTTTTGCTCACCACACCTCAACTTCCAGTGTAGAAGTCTAAAAGAGGGCACTTAAAAATAGTTTCATGAACAAATATTTAAAGTGATAGATAGCTCAATTACAATGATTTGGTCTTTTAAAATTATATGAATGTATTTGATTATCATATGTAATTTTAAAACATGTTTATTGATCATGTATCAATAAAAAAGTTAATACAAATCTCACAAAATCCCCTAAAAACATTATTACAACGGAAATATTTAATGTTTATTTTTTCTTTTCTGTTAATGGCATTCATCCTACAATCAATGCGTGTTTTAATGAAGCTAGCTGTTTTTCAATATTAAAGTTATGTGACATTAAAGTGATGTTATATCTTACAATAAATGAAATCATAGAATTGAGGAAGTAAATACGTGCACACCACTGCCATTCTCCCTGATGCAATAAGCAAAAACACTTGCTTCCACTAGTTTATTGGATTTAAGAATGATCACCTTGCTAACTGTATCAGAATTAGAATTAAAGTAATATAACCTCAAAAATGTGGTAATATTTTATTCGATTTATTCTATGAATAAAATTTTTTTTGTGTGCTTTTGCTAAATGAGAAAAAAATGCATTTGCCTAGAGAAACAAGTTTGGAGAAACAGAAGAGTTACTTCCCAATATGTACTTCTTTCTAGAAGTACAAAATATTGAAGAGCAGGCAGGTCCAGAAACAGAAAAGCTGTAAATTCAACCACTTAAGGCATGAGACCACCTTATTCTCTAAGCAGGTAATGTGGAAGAATATTGATTATTTCTCAGTGTATGTTGTTTAAAAGTGGAGATTTAATAATAACTGAAATAGAAAGTATATTCTAAATTTTTCACAATCTGTACCAGTCACCATGGGTTTATTTTTTAAACAAACGTTGTAAACAAGTATTACATAAAAAATTTCAAGATCGTTATTAGGTATTTGTTTAATATGATTGACCTAGAAAAGCTTTAATCTGTTTTCCCTTCTGCAATTCCATTAGGAGCTAACATAGGAAGATGAAATGGAAGGGTATTTAAATAGCAAATGGCTTTATTTTCTGTGTGTCGATGCCTTGACATCCGAGGCCTTGCTCACCCTGGGGAGACCAAACCTCGCAGGATTAGCCAGTTCTTAGAGACAGCAAGCAACCCATCCAGTGAGCTTGCTTTACGAAGGCAAATCGATTCAGTGTCCACACCCCACAACCAGCTCCTTTGGGCTCTCACACTCCAGACCACTATCCACCTGTCCTAATCACCCCAGGGTCGCAGACAACCAGGAACAGTCTATATACCCCAGAGCCCACTGAAACAAACTAGCTAATCCTTAACCTTCTTATCCTGCATCAACCATTCCTTCCCACAGAAACCACAATGGAAGATCTTGCCCACAGTCCTCTCCTGCTCCCTCTGCCGCCTGACTGTCATGGAGGCTTCCATGTGTGACCAGCCACAGTATGATAAGGTGTGTCCCATTCTCTTACCATACCTAAAGAATAATAATACTTATATTAAAACATGTATATTTAAATATTATATATATTAAAAATTATTTGTAATAGCAAAAAAATTATAGCCATTTACATGGCCCCCAGCAGAGGAATGCTGGAGTTAATTCTAATATATCTAATTGTATAAAATCCTAAGCAGCAGTTAAAAAAAAGAATGAGGTGGTTCTTTACAAATTGACATGGAATTATCTCCAAGACATATTGTTAAGTAAGAAACTAAAGCTGGAACACAATGGATATGCTATGATGCATACGTTACATTTAATTAAGTACACAAAATAACAGTATATATTTATAAATGTTCTTAAACATAAAGGCACCCCAAAAGGCCTGTTTGGATAATAAATCAAATAGATTTTATTATTTATTTTTAGGTAAGTCAAGAAGGATTTTTAGTTTGTTCATAATTTTTAAAAATATGTTTACACTGAGAATGACTTTATATATTAATTGTGGAATTCAAAGTAAATAAAAATAAATTTTAAAAGTTGATAGCTAAGCTACATAGCTCATGGTGGTAGGAAGTAGTCTTACTTAGTAAGCAGCTAAAGTGGTCAATTCTAATTTTTCACTAGCATTATCATCAACCTACCCCTTGCTATTCAAAGTGCCTAAGACCCGCCATGTTTAGGTCCAGTTAGACACTTAACAGCAAGATTAGTCTTATCTCATCACTCCAGCTGCAAGCTCACTTTCATTTCAGTACTATGGGAACATAATAATTTTCTTCCTCGTTGACTCAGTGAAACAAAATCAGAATTATAGCTTTGCAGAGGAGCATATTGAATGTAAGCCTTGAGCAACATAATACAATGCTGAGCTATATGCAACTTTTGGTTACCACCTTTTAGTAAACATAGTTTTTCTTTTTATTCTAACAAGTTTTCTTTGAAAAAGTATAAAAGAAACATACTAATATTTATGTGGAATTCTTTTTTCTGGAGTTTCTCCTTCCCCATCACTAAATAAAATATAAAAACAAATGAGAATATTTGCCAGCATTGTCAGCTATAGCTTATACCAGCAATTTCTTTGTTCTTTGAATTCGTACAAGTTACTATCCATATGATTCATGCATTTTCATGCCATATTATGAAGCATGTCTGTGCAAAGGTAGGCTTCATTAAAGTTCATTAATTATTTCTTAAATTAACAAGTTCAAATTATACAAATGGGAAAAATTTGTCATATCGAAGTGGACATCATAAGAGATGGCTCCCATGGATCTCACTAATCTACTTTGTGCCTTAACTTAAGCAGATTAGTAAATGTCATTGGCATGGATTTCTTCCATATATTTCCCCAAAACAAATAGTAAAAGATTAGATCAATATCAAATGAAAGATTAAAATAATACCAATTACATACAAGACAAAACAGGAACAAAGAACCTGTATGGCAGGTGGACTTTCAGAATTATCTGCAGGCCATTTCGATGATTAAATTGAAATGTGTGTTTTCTGAATATTTTCCAGAATCCCTTAGATTTCATATTCTAAAGAAACTTTGGGGATGCCCCATTGGGCCATAGGTATCCCAACTGGACAGCAAAGAAGACCGTATGCTTTGCTAATCCAGTTATTTCTAGTACCCTTAGAACTCAAAATTAATTAAAACCCCTGAATGAGACACAGAGCTCACAAATAGATGATGCTGAGCTTTTAATATGCAGATTTTAACAACAACACTTGAGAGAATAATGTTTGGACTGAGATGAGTCAAGAAGAATAAGCTCAATGATGCCTCCGTCTGAATCCATTTCTCCATCCAATATCTGGGAGGAAAACACAGAAGAAAGTAGTTCGACCAAGGCTTAAAAACTGATGCCTAACTTTTAAGTGACATGAGACTCATGCTTTCTTTTCCTTAGAGATGGAAGGGGTGCAGAAGGGAATAAAAAAAAGGAAAAGTTCTGGTTGCTTAGTGAAGGATAAAGAACATATGCTAATATTATCAACTGCATAACTATAGAGGTTCCATCTGTCCTGTCCATTCCTTCATTCTCAGTGTGTGACATATAGTGGGCATCCAATGAATGTTAATTGAATGAATAAATAATTGAAATCAGGTGATATATATGCGGAATTTCTTCTAGTCAGAGAACGGATGAGGAGATCATGTTGCCCCATACTTACTTATGCTTTAGATTGTGGAGGTGAATTGAAAAATACAGGGTCAATCATAAGAGGATGTGTGTACCTCAGGCCACATCTACAGGTACCACAGCACTTCATAAGATCCCTGCAGTCATAATCATTTATACAAGGAACCCCAGAACAACAGGTGGAAATCTTAGATTGTTGCTTAGAGGCCCGTTTGCCCAGATGGGATCTAAATTTCTTTTGACTTCAGTCTTGACTGCGGCTCTGTTGCTTTGTGTCAAAAGATTCTATAAATTCAGGACATGTACCTGGCTTGCCCTCAACTACGAAAGAAAAAAGGAATTGTGAGCTTTTTACCTTCTCTTATTTGTACCAGGAATTTAATTTCTTTAAAAGATATGTCTATAATCTCCTAATTATGCTCTTCTGTTAGCTGATTTTGCTCCTTAAATCATGTTTTAAAAGCACTATAAAGCACTATCAAGTATATTTTTAAGGTATCATTATGAACTGGCTGTTAGACTAAATCCAACCTGATTATTATAATACTTTGATATATATTATGTATGGATTACATATATTTATAAAATATATATTTGAAATATTTATATACATAATTGGAAAGTATATATTCCGAATATATATAGATTTAGTATATGTATGTTTATTTGGAATATACACATTTGAAATAAATTGGGGTCAAGGAATTACTTATACAATATGGAAAGATGTTCAACTCATGTTTTTCTATTTTAATAGAACTTTATTGCAGTGCTATGTTAAAATAGTTTCATACATGTACACATTTTTTTAAACTACCAGGTGTGTTCAAATGTAGGCTTACTTGGAATGTAGTATAGGACATCTAAATTGCAGATGATCAGCAGATACAGACAGCTTTTATTCATTTATTTATTCCCTTATATGTATTGGGTGCCTACTGTGTATTCCAGAGTTGTCAGCACTCCAGATACAGTAGTAAATAGAAAAAACAAAAAAGTTCTATTTTGGAGTGGACAAGATAGACAATAAAGATAAACTAGTAAAATTTACAGTATATTAGACAAAGATTACTGCTAAAGAGAATAATTAAATTCAAGGAGATTCCTAAAAGTACCTTGCAATGCTAAGGGTCCCTAATTCTTTAACCCTAGTTATGTAATCTACAAAAATTAGTTATTTTCAGAAGTTTTTGCACACTGTGTATGTTATCTGCTCACACTTACTGTCATTCAAGAAACACTGATCAAATTTCACTAGGACTAACAGGAATAGCTTTCTTCCTTTACATGAGGTCAATTAGGTTACAGGCTTCTTATTAAAATGCAAATAAATATCATCAGTAATTAGTAAATGACAGGAAGCATTATAAACGTCCATAATTATTCTATGCCATTATAACACTATAGAAAGTTAAGAAAATTTAACATATGAATATATTAACTCCTGATGTTCCTTATACCATAGACTTGGAAACACTGTACATAAGAGAAAAGAGTAAATATATAGTGTCACAGGCCAGAGGCAGGAGGATTACTTGAGCCCAGGAGCTCAAGATGAGCCTAGGCAACATAGCGAACCCTGTCTCTACAAAAAATACAAAATTAGCCAGCTGTGATGGTGTGAGCCTGTAGTCCCAGTTACTTGGGAGGCTGACATGGGAGGATCACTCAAGTCCAGGAGATCAAGGCTGCAGTGAGCTGTCATGGCACCACTACACTCCAGCCTGGGTGACAAAGTAAGACTCTGTCTCTCAAAGAAAGGAAAAAAAAAGAAAAGAAAAGAAAAGAGGAAAGAAGAAAAGAAAAGAAAAGATACACACACACATACACAGAGAGATACATATAATCTGTAAATTAAACAATAAATAAAACTAATATGGTTGTCTGAATTGACTTCCTAAAAAAGATAAAGGAAAAATAGTAGAATTATAGAATTAACCAAGTATTAATTTCAGCTTAAAACTGAATTTTTCTTTTTTCTATAACCCTTAGTTTACTTTAATAGGAGAGTAACAGAATTGGAGCAGCTTACAATCCTTTTCATGGAGGAGCTATACATATTACAATGTCTTCTTTCATCAGTCTGTTTAATTCTGGAAAAAAATTGATAAAATGTCCTGCATAGCTAATTTTTCTGTGACATTTTCTTTCACTATGAGTTTGTTCAATCCTGTCAATTACCCTGTGGGTAATTATTCTCCAGCTCTTGCTTGTTTATCAGATGATAGTGATGTCTCTTACCTTCCTTTCCCTCACTCCCTCTTTGCTACGTGTTCCATGGTCGCAGTTTCAGGTGGCAGAATGACATTATGTTACATTACTTTTGCACATTGCACAATGTACTCAAGTCAGTCCCTGATCTGAGAGTAAAAGTAAATAAATATAACTCTGCCCTTTATTTTCCACTTCATTATCTTCTCTGGCAGGCAGCGCTAGCCCAACTTCTCTTTCTCCTCTTCTTTGCTAATAGAACCCTGATTTTGTTCAGGGGAGTAATGTGCCCAGTGGATCTCAACTGGAAGCATTTTGGAAATCTTTGCTGGCCAATCTGGCTGTCACAGCACTGCAGCTCCCTAACTGTATTCAGTAAGTGAGGCAAGGCTGCTGGGTGTCCTGCAATGGGTGGAGCACCCCCAAAGGAAGACAGAGGAGCTGAAATACAGGAGCCTGTCTACCTCCAGACTTCCCATTATACACAAAAATGAAACTGCTATTTGTTTAAGCTACAGTTAGTCAAGAATTCTATTACTTACAGCTTAACATAATTCTCAGTGATAAGCCCTCCAGTCATGAACATCAGGCCTCTATTTCATATCATTCACCAAAAAGATGCAGTAAATCTCGTATTCCACTTAGGGAAACAAATGCTAGAAGAAAAAGAGATAACCAGGATCTCACCTTGCCATTGAGCATCCTGGTCTTGCCAAACACCTAAGGGAAATGGAGAATAAAGTATAAAGTAAGTGCTCCCTTCTTGCTCAAACATCATCTTTTAGCAAATTCTAAAGTGACTTGATAATATGTTGTTCTCATTCTAGGGCAATTACTATAAGTAAGTGATTGGAAAACAAAGTGGCTCTTTTCTATTTGCCATACTACAGCCATTTGTCATGTATCATCTCAGTGAATATGTAGCATAAAATTACGCTTGATATAAATATTCTTTTATGTTATTGATTTTTCACTGTTCAATAGGAATATTATTTTGTCAACTATTTCATGTACTTGTAATATGGCAGAATGGATTCTTCTTCATCACAAACCCAGTCCCTCATTTATAAGTAAACAGAATAAGGATTTTCAAAAGAAAAAAAATATTTTTTAAGTTTTGGATGATTTTAGATTTCAGAGTAGTTGCCAAGATAATAGAGAGTGCCTGTTGACCTTTCCCTTACCTTCCTTTTATGTTTGCATCTTACGTAACCATGGTACAACTATCCAAATGAAGAAGTTAGCAGTAGTAGAATATTCTTCACTACACTACAGATTTTGTTTGAATTTCCTGCTTTTCCACCAATGTTCATTTGCTGTTTCAGGATTCCATGCAAGACCCACACTGCATTATTTCTAACTTCTTAGTCTCCTCCAATTTGTGAGATTATCACAGTCTTTCCTTGTCTTTCATGACCTGTATATCTAAGAAGAGTCCTGGTCAGCTGTTTTATAGAATGTCCTTCAATTCATGTTTGTCTGATTTTTTTATAGCTAAACTGCAGTTATGGATTTTGGAAAGAGTACCACAGAGGTGAAGAGCCCTTCTCCTTGGATCACATCAGGGGGTGCCTGATATCACTGTGTCTTGGTACTTACTGACGATGTTAACTTGATTATTTATTTAAGATGGTATCTGCCAGGTTTCTTCACTGTAAAGTTTCTACTTTTTGTTGTCTATATGTAAACGGAGTTTTTAAAAGTGACTAAACACTAGGTCAAAGATAGAACATGTCTACCTCTAGGATATTAGCAAGGATTAACCTTTGCAGTGAAAAAGTGTGACTTGCTTTCAGATCCTCCATCTGAAGACAACAGGTAGGGAAGTTATGGGAGCCCTGCCCTCATCCCTTTTACTGGCCAGTGGCCATTGACTTGCCATGAGTATTGGCTACTAGCAACTCACAGCTACCCCATTCTCTAGGTAACTACCCTTAGCAGTGGCTCTCTGGCATGAAGGTATAAAAGTCTGGCCTCCTTGCCTCAACTGAGACTAACTCTGTGGAGCAATAGGTGTTTCAGACTTTTTCTAAGCTAGTCTGCACGTGAGACCACATTTTGCTTAGCCTTATTCCTTATCTACCCTGCTTACTAAATCCCCTCTCTGGGAGAGCTCTCAATAAATATTTTTTAAAAACAGTCCCATTTAAGGATTGGCTTCTGAAGAATCTGACCTAACACAATACATGACTTGGAGTTATTTCCCTCTCCACCTTCACATGCAGGATCCAAGACTGCTTTTTTCTCCCTACTCAACAGTGGAGCCCAGCAGTAGAACCACTCATCGGAATCAAATGCAAGAAGAGACAAGTGGTGGCAGTGGATAAGTTGAAAGGATAGAAGGATGAGCCTGAAAAGGATTCAGAGGGGAAGCCGCCTGCCATCTGCCTTGGGTGTTCTCAGTATCAGGAACTAAAACCTTAAACCTTGGATGGAAACTCAAGAAAAAGATGTGCATGCCCCAAAGCCCATCACATTATGAAATCCATATTGGCTGGATTATGTTTCTTGAACTCGAAGAAAAAGATTGAGAAAATAGTCTGTGGACTCCTGTACAGAAAACTGACTGGCTGACAGATCTTTTGGTGGCAAAATTCTGGAGGATGCCACCATATAAGGAAGAGACTAAGGAAGAAGAACTAATAAAATTAAATAGCAACAACCTAACAGCTAACAACAAATTTAGAAGAGGCTAATGCCACCACACCTTACTAGAAGAGAGTTTCCAAAGGAGTAGGATGAACAGCAGTTAGTGTCAAATGCAAGCTCATTTTGATACTCATTGAGCTCATTGAAACTTTGAAAGCTAGTTTCAACAGAAAGGTGGCATTGGAGACCAAAATCCTGTTGACTGGAGAGTAATTAGAAAGTGGATTCTACAAATCAAGGATTATTTTTCAAGAACTGAGTGAGCTGATATATAATTGGCTTGAGGATTAGGAAGGATTCATTTTTCTCTTTAAATAAAGGAAGATATGACTAGGAGGAAAGGGCAGATGCCAAGATAAGAGGTAAAATTAGATGTTAGAATTATCTAGTTTTATCTAGATAAGTATATAGAATTCTGAATAATTATTTAGAATTATTCTGGATAATTATTTAGAATTATTCTGGATAATTATTTAGAATTATCTAAAATCTAAGGTAACTAGAGTTAGGGAGAGTTAAACTTATAAAATACTAAGCATAATGCTTAAACCCTGGTTTCTCATGATGATTTCCTTGAAAGAAAGAACTTGTAATAATTTGAGCTAGTTTTCATCATATTGTGATTATGCTTCTGAATGTATTATCGTTTTATTGTCACTCGTGATGCTAGGGTGTCACCTTGTGGTAAATGTAAGTATAGCTTTGATGCAACCCACTTTATACATCATCTTATTTCTAGATATCAATTACAACCATTTTCATGGTCCTTTTATTTTATTCTTAATGTGGCTTCCTACTTTAAGTTTATTTTTAAGCAATATATAAGATTGAAAATATATAAGACCAAATATAGGATGTAAATTACAGAAAAGAATATTAGATAAACTAACAAGAATGAAAAAAATAGGTTCTTAAAACTAAATACATGATTTTACAATTTAGCTGAAAACTTTGTAATGACACCTAAGGTTGACTTGTAAATATTTCAACTTTTAAATTATGTTTTATATTATTTCTATGTGAAAAAAAGTGGTACTTTTTAAAATAATGAAATCCATAAGGATGGAGAGGTTCAAATGATACATTTACAATAGTTATTATTAATCTTATTCCAAGCACTACTTTTTTATATGTTCATTGCAATAGCACGACATATAATAGATGCAAACATAACTATGAAAAAATAATTCAATCGAGTATACTCCATTCTTGCTCATTTCTGACTCCTTTAATTCTCTTTTTATTTGATTCTAATAACTTAGTCATTATTATTTTTGCCATTATTTATGATTAGCTTAGTGTAAAAGAGAGACATATAAATTATTTACATGATGAAAAATTTCAGAACTTCAGTGGAATAGGAAGCTTCGTGTTGATGCCATTTCAACAGGATTTATTTCAGTCTACATACTTTCCAAGAATGTCGCCATCTCTAAATGAGAACTAATCCCTGTCATCTACTTTGGTGCCTCCATATTCTGGAAGAAGAACGTTATTTCCAAGGTTCACACGAACTGACTGAATCTCTCCACTCTTTCTTTAGAGCCTGATCCAACAGCTACTACTGTGGCTGCCAATACTTTTCCTTGAGATTTTTCTGGAAGCATAATGGTTCCTTTGGTTACAGTTTCGATGGCACACCTTTCAACCAATACTTGGTCAAAGAGTGGAAGTAACTTTCTAAGTGCTTGCCCTGCCATGAGCCCCTCTATCGCTGACTTTTACTCTGCTTTCATATAGTACTGCAAGGAGAGACCCCGTTCGTCATTATCCTAATCCTGCGGGTCTACGGAATGTGTATCACTTGTTTGTATAACATAATCTATCAGTAAAAACGTTGAATTTAGTACTTCTTTTAGGTACTACCTTACTAAGTATATTTGAGCCTTACTCTCCCATGAAGATGGTCTGCTACCTAAAGGCAGTAAGTCACATCACATGTTTCTTTTGTACCCTCTGCATAATAGGTTTTCAGTAAATACATTTTTAATTTAAAATGAATAAGTTGAAGAAGGCTTATCTCTACAATTCTATAGAAAAAAATAACTTCTTTAATCAATTTAATTAGCATTCTAAAATTGTATTTTAATTGACCAAAGTGACAAGTGTATAACAAGAAATTGTCCTTTGATTATTTCAATTAGCTATTAGAAATGCTATTCAAAATAAGCTAAATCTCTCCCTGAAATTTCAATACCACATGATTAAAATAATAAGGCAAGACTCTTAAGAAAGGATAAGAGAAATCTTAGAAATGTTAGTGTGTAGTTGTTGTTAATCTGTACTACTGATTAGAAGAACTGACATCGTACGTAACTGATAGAGAAATCAATAGACTTAAAAGACAAATATGAAATGGAATCATGATTTAACAAGTCATATGCTGAGTAGATTGTCTAGTCAGTTGTTATGTTGGAATTAGGGTTGAAATCTTAATTCTGTTACATCTTATTCTCTATGGTCTTGGGAAAAAGAAAGGAAAAACATGACTGAAGTGAAAAAGACAGTCTAGTTGCTAACACGTCTCAAAACTTTATACCTGTCATCGTATCAGACTTATCATTTTCTTGGTTTTGAACTTCTTCCTGGGTTGTGCTCAAAGCCAGCAAGGTAGATGAAAGAAAGAAAGAAAGAAAACATCTTTAAATCAGACTTATACTTCCCCCTCTGCTGGAGAAATTTGGGGATCCTCACTTATACGGCTTATAGAGAACAATAACAGCATTGCTGCTACCCAGGAATGGCCTCTGGAGTTTGAGGCAGCTTTTACCGGAACATTTCCTTCATATGATTTACCACCTATTTCATGGTGTTCTATGTTACTAACAATTGTCAAATGATATATGGATTCTGCTGTCTTCCTTAACTATGACAAGAATGACAAACAACAAAAGGTTAAGATAACACAAATATAATTGCCTGCTGGCCCAAAAACTCTTCTGGGAAAGAATCTAGGAGAACTTTCTGATTTCTCAGTAGAAAAAGAGTCACAAAGGAGCATCAGAGAAAGCATCTATAATGTAGAGACCCACATTAACGTATAATATCTAATGTAAGATTTAATTTAGTTC